AAAGGTCCTTGGTGTAATGGCTTATTAGTCATGTCATAGTTGATACTGTTGATTAATAATACTAACTTAATGCACATCTGAATTATGCTTCAAATAACTGTATTAATGATACAGAAAAGAATAATAGTAAAGTACACCCTTATTTTATTATTATTTTTTAAAGATTTTATTTATTTATTTATTTGAAGAGAGAGACACAGCGAGAGAGGGAACACAAGCAGGGGGAGTGGCAGAGGGAGAAGCAGGCTTCCCGCAGAGCAGGGAGCCCGATGCGGGGCTCAATCCCAGGACCCTGGGATCATGACCTGAGCCAAACACAGATGCTTAACGACTGAGCCACCCAGGCGCCCCAACACCCTTATTTTAAATTCAGAAACTACTTGTTCATACATTCCAGAAGTTTATATGCTATTCATAACTTAGAGAGCAAACAACCACTGTAAATAATAAAGGGATAATTTAAATCATTGAGATATCTTATATAGTGCAAGGAGTCCTTAATGACTCCTGGGGGCTATCATACCCAATGCATATTATGTAAAGAGGTGTAAAAGAAATATTTTGGTGTAAGACACAGTACATTTTCTGGAAATACCTTTACATTCTATATTTGATAAAACTGTCCTCGGTGCAGAAATCATGAAAAGTGTTGCTTTAAATCTGCCATCTATTACTGTTTTTAATGTGGACATTTTATTCACCCACCAGTTCTGTACTTTAATTTGAACTTTTTTGTGATGAAAATATTCTGAGCATTGTTTTAGGCTTCTCAAACAAATCATAGTTAATGATTATTATCTCAGAGGATAAAGTATCTCGTGCTTATGAGAAAAACATAAATAAATGGTTTGTTTCTATTCCCTGTTGGCATAAGGTATTTTACTATGACTGATAACAAGAAAAACCTGCAAGTGATTTTCGTAATATGTGACTACACTGTTTGAACATACCCTTATAAAGATATATAACTGAGGATAGCTCATTTCAATCAGTTCTGTGAGCACAGGAACCAGATAAAGAAATGAGCATACATTAAACTGTTAAAACATGAGATCCTCCATATTAGATTTGAAGCAAAACACAAACTGTGCAGTTGACTGGAAATGCCACCTAATCCCTGCTTAATTAAAGCAGTGCTCTACACTCCTGTTGTGTTTAGGGAGTAAAGAGTGTGGAACGACTGATGTATGAAGAAAATAGCAGTCAGCGTGTCTAATCTCAAAGACTTTCGAGCTTTCTAGCTACATAAATCAGAGCGACTTTTGAATAGCCTCATAAAACACAGTATCATTGCCATTCCACTCACGATTTTTTGGTTCTTCCTACAGCATGCAGATCATTAGGAAACTTCTAAGCAATCAAGTAATGTGGGTCTGATGAAATTACTCAATCAATGCACAGGCTCAAAGTAAAAGCATAATTCAAAATTGCAGTTTTTATATGTCAAAAGACCTTTCTTTTGGGGGGCAAAGAATATCACAATCGAGATGATTCATTTCTAAATATTACGTGTATGAACGTGCTTTAAACAAATGTATGTAATTATCAAATATCTTTAAAATGTGATTTAACAGAAAAAGTAATTATGTATATGATATTAGTGCATTTTTTACTGAAATAAATACACTGCCACTCCAATCACTGGAGTTTAACTATTATGATGTATTTCATCATTGTAGTGAATTCATGTGTTTAATAAAATACATTAGAGTTTAAAATATGTAATTGACTTTTAAAAACTACCTGCATGAAATAGAAACAAAGAGAAAGAAAGGAGTTTTCATATATATAATTCTGTTCAACACTAAAAGGATTCAATATTTAAAGAACCTATTAGAGCAGTGTCTTTTTTATCTTTCCAGCTTGCCTGAACTACATATTGCAGCTACTTTCTACATGAACACACCACATGAGGCTAGAAAAATCTTTCATTTCTGCATATCTCCTTATAACTCTAGAGTTGAAATATTCACTTTTCCTTCAGTTCCATCACTTTCATCCCTTCAATCCTGAAGTAATACATTTGCCATAAGCATATTTCTCCCATTAAATATTTAAATGAAAGCAATCACCTCCTAAAGATAATTAATTCTCTTTTGCTAGTCATCAAGGTAAACTGATCCCATGAATATTAACTAATGGTTTAAAACTTTAATATGGGCATTTAGTTTTGAATTTATTATACTTTGGGATGGGAGGTGGAAGCAGGAGGGGCTTTTAACCTCTGACATGCACTCAAATTAGTCTTGGTCATCTTCTTTAATTTGGGAAGTAATATTTATCAATATATTATAAAAGATATGAAGCATTTGAAGCAATTATCAATTTGCCAGCTTCATGGCAATATTGGGTAGCCTATAAAAGAAGCTAATCCTCTTGCCTAATGTACTAATTACATTCAAGTCAAATTGTCTGATAAGTATTCCTTTTAATAGGATATACACAGTTCATGCATACAACCTGCTTTCTGAAGAAATCTGTAATTTGTACACAGTTACCTTTTTTTTTGGTCTGGTTATAAATAAGGAAGCCATGTCACACTGACAGACAACAGAATGCAAAGGGAAAAATACAACAGTTGTGTTCTATTTAGAAACAAATGATCAGACTGCATTGCAAAACAGTGTTCAGCTGATAAAGGACAGCAAGCGCTGTAGGTGTTTGCAAATAATATATTTATCCTGTAGACCACAGAATAAGCAATAAAATAAGCATTTATCCACAAGCCTTTTCTCCTGAGCGATGAAAAACGTAAGGCAGAAACCCCTAATCATAAAATGAACGTAAAGGTACCATAGTAATATATGTATCTGCATCCTGTTCCAGTCATTTACAACTGGATATAAATGTATGTCATTTCTTTAAGAGGAGAACAGTTCGTTTCTGAATTCTATCAGAACATTACTGAACCCCTCAACGAGGCCATGATTTCTCCCTGAAAAGTTCTGAACCCACAGGCCCTGTTAGCCCCCAGGCAAAACGTGATCTAGCAGTCAAGCTATCTAGTGCTTAATTTACTTAACGCATAAGTGCAAGGTTTTTCGAATCTTGACCTCATTACCCCTTATACACAGACATATATGGTTCTACTGATACAAATGACAGAGAATGGCAGACATGTTTACAAAGACAGCGTCTGAGACCGAGGAGTCCCCTGGAGCTGAGGGGCTGGCCGCTGTGGAGGCACACACCAGACAGAAGCCCCTCGCTTGGGCAGGCACAAGAGCCACCTGAAGCAGGTTCCCTTCCAGGACTCTGTGGTGTGTGTGGGGAGGAGTGGGTGTGTGGGGGGTGTGTGTGTGAGAGAGAGAGCGCGCAGGGGAGGGGCAGGGGGACTAAAGGAGGAGATGCTGCGACCCATCTGTCGCTTCAATTTGAAGAACATCAAGCCGTGTGGACAGATAAAAGTCCTGTGCCCAGAAAAATTCCCCAAGAGGGGTCTCTCTTCATCCCAGTAAATGAACCTTGCTAGCCCGCGGACACGAATTTCCGAAAAGGAAATCGTCGCATTAACGCAGAAAAGGCTGCAGGAGCCCGTCTCCACTCAGCTCTTACGGATTAGCAAGTGAGAAGAGTTGGAGCCCGAAGCTGCGAGCGCTGTGCATGATAATGACGCGCGGCCCCCACCCGCCCCCGC